AACCCTTAAGAGACAAAGCACATGCTTTAGGAATCTTTCAAATAGGCAGCTCCCCCTAGTGTGTTTAAGATGAGATTTACACAAGTTCGATTTGCAAGGAAGTTTTGAGGTGCACATCTCTTGGATAAATTAAGGGATATTTTAATCAAAAGGTTTGATCTCAAACTAAGCATTAATTTTAATGGTGTAAGGAAACATTTCAAGACCCAGATTTTATTTGAAACACTGGTTATAGTTTTTCATATTTAACACTGAGTCTCTGTTTTCTAAAAAATCAAAAACTACATGATCTTTCAAAAGAAAATGAAAAGGAATATTCTAAAGACATCATTACATTCTTAATTAGAAATTATTGGGAAGAAATAAGTATAGAAGGCAAAAACAATAGATTCTACTCGAAAGATAATTGTATTTTTGCTTTGTGCACGAGGGTAGCAGTAATTATGTATTAAACTGTACAACTGAAAAAAGGTCAGGGACAAATCTAATATTTGAATGAAAGAATTCCACTTATTAAGTATTTTGAGTTTGTTTAAGGTCATTTGTGGTCAGAATTAGCTAAAAGGACAGTTTAACCATGTTTATGTTATGGATTTCTTCAAAGATTGCACAGTATTTTATAACTTGAAATTTTCTCAAATATTTAAATTATTTTTAGCCATCATTATTCTTTATCCTAATTTATAATCTACAAATAAAATCATCTTGGTAAGCTTTTTTTTGGAGGGGCGGTGGTCAATGTTCATGTAAACCAGCCATGGTTTTTTCATTTAAAAAATTTTCCTTATATAACCATAATTTTTGTTTAGCCTTATCGTTAATCTGTTTAGCATGGTCAGCAGGCCATAAGCAAAATTGTGTGTGTGTGTGTGTGTGTGTGTGTGTGTGTGTGTGTGTGTGTGTTTTGGTTTTAGGTTCTTTATTCTCTGATCCTTCATTTTCCTACCAACCTTTATATTGAGCTATAACTTAATATACAAATTCTAGGTTTGAAGCTTAGTGAATTTTTATATACACTCTTGAAAAAAAAGTTGAACTTTTGCATCTACTGACAACTGTTCATTGGACTTTCTATAAGTATTTCTTATGATTATTGTTTCTTGGGATGTTAGAAGTTTACTCCATCTTCCTCATTTTATAGATGGATAAAGTAAGGCCCGGAGAAGTTGAAATGCTTAATTTCTTCACATTTATGAAATATTTTAAAAGATTGCAATTGGTTATGGAACAATTCTGTAGATTTTATTAGTAATTTATATATTAAAAGGTACATAACCAGTAGATCTGTTAAAGGTACATAACCAGTAGATCTGAGTCTCTCAGGAGTATATCTATAATTTTCTAATGACATATGCATTCTATCAGTTCCTCTGAAAATCAAGCATTTCATTTTGTCAATGTGTTATAGTCTTTTTTGTACCACCCTATTAAAACACTGTTAGATTCAGGTGGATTTCCTCCCCACTCCCTTGTTTGGAAAAAACTAATGTGATGGGTGGGATAGTTCACAGGAATTTTTTACCATTACTGTTTTAAGGCCTAGATACTAATATATATATATATGTATTTAATGTCACTTTTTGATTTTGTATTTCATAGTTAATTATATTTCTGATGTAGTTAATATAGAGCTATTTACCTAGTCAGTTAATTAGTAAATTTTTCTAATGTAGTATGCCAGCCAGAATTAGTGCTATAATTAACTTCTTACCTGGTCAGTTTTGTAATTAGTTAACAAGCATGTTTTTTCTCACATAAGATAATTTTGAAAATCTCTATTCATTGTGTTTTAAGATTCAGAAAAACCTGCTTGGCTCTATGAGTTCCCATTCTACCCATGAGTTCCTGGCAAGTCAGATAACCTCTCAGCCTATTTCCCCATTAGGAAAATGGGATGAAAGGATCTATCTTGCAGGATTATGGTGACGATTTAGTGATGTACAGCATAATTTATTGTAACACATGCATTACCGTTTTTGTGACTCCTTTTAGTTTAATTTTAAAAACTGAAATTATGGGTACATAGAGTATTTTATTCAGCTTTTTTTCAGAACAAGCAGTGGTGATACGGAAAGAACTGCTTTATTGGAACTGGCTGTGCCTGGCTCTGCCACTTACTACTTTGTGTTGTATTGACAAATTCCTTAACCTCACTGAATTTCAAATGACTCACATACAAAATGATAATATCAATCTTGAAAAATTGTATAAGAATTAGAAATAATATTTGTGAATTATTTAACAAAGTGCCTGCTTGGTACATGGTAGGAACTTAGATGATGATAATCTTCCCCAGTAATATGGTAAACATTTGACAGCGTAAAGCTTTCTAATCTGAAACCTTTGAAAAAACACAATAAAAGTTGTTTCATAATTCAACATATGTCCATTATGAGAAGCTGGAATTAGCCATTCAGTAGTTCCAGCTAAAGTAAAATTTCTTACCATAGGAAGCACAATGGTTTTTGGTTTTGAATTGAAGCTCTATAGATTGTTCCAGAAATACTTTCCTGTTGGTGTTACAAAAGTCTTTTCCTCCAAATCTGTTTCTTGTTCACAGTTTTATAACAGCGAATACTTATAAGTTTTTGATTTTCAGAGCAAGAAAGATTTAAGCTTCTTTGAGGAAATTTAGATCTGAGTTCATTTCTAGGGCTTTGTTAACAGTATATTTTAGAATTCAAGTTGGTGATGGTTGGAGAAGGGGTGAAAGGAGGATGTTTTTGTCTGGAAGAAAGGTCAAATATAAAATGTATGATCCGTTTTATTGATTGTAATGTAGACGTACTATGGGGAAGAAAACATAATAGGATAAGCCTAGAAAGAATTTTTTTATGTAACGGTATTTCTTCTTTAGAGCATAAGTGATTTGAAACTTGATTATTAGTATATTAAGAGATAGCTGCAAGTAAAAAGTATTTTACCTTTTAATTAAGAGGATTAGTAGTAACCCGAGGACAAATTAATATCAGCTTGGTGATGTCTTACCACTACTAGTCTCTATGTACTCTTGCCTTTTTCATCTGTGCCTTCAAAAAGTATGACATTCTAACATTTTTTATCCATTAGTTTTGCCTAGATCAGTTAGGGGACTCATGGTGAAGGTCTTTGGAAGGATTAAATCATCAAAAATTTATTATAGAGATAAAAACAGTTCTGAATAAGAAAAAGTAATTGTAGCATTAGCTATTAGGTTATGTAATTTGTAACTAGTAAATGACGAGATTGATTCTGGCCTGTTAAAGGAATACTTTCCTTTGTTTTAAAGCTGTTAAACCTAATTAGATATTAGGAAACATCAACAAAGTTCTGCGTATTCTAGTGTTTAAAACTGGAACTGTCCAGTTTTTCCGAAAGGATTAAAAACAATAGATGATGATAATTATTTTATTATTTTTATTTTATTATTATATTTTATTATGGTGACATTGATTAACGAAATCCAGTAAGTTTCAGATGTACAATTCAACAGTAAGGCATATATATGTTGCATTGTATGTTTACTGCCCAGAGTTAGATTTCTTTCTGTCACCACGTTTGACCCCTTTTGCCCCATCTACCTCCCTCATCTCCCCATACATCTGGTGACCATTAGTCAATTTTTATTATTTGACAGTAGATTATTTTTAATTACTGGAATTGAAGATTATTGAGTATGCAGTGTTCTGTGAAAGATAGGCTACAAAAAAACCACACGTTGATGTTACAAAGCTTACATCAAAGAAAATGACAAGGTGTAGTATATCTGGATTATCAGGAATAAGCAAATTGATGTCTGGCCTCTGGTAATGCCTTTGTTCTGATAGTTCCTGATCATTTATGTACTTTGGCAGGTAATAACTAATGTAAAAATTGGAATTTTTGTTGTGCAGTTTTAGTTGTCAATCCCATTTCTCAAAACCAGTAAGTTAGAAAAATCAAGAAATTTCCTGCAGAGAATTGGGCCTAAGTCAGTTAGTAGAGAGAGTAAAAGTTCTTTATATCTAAATTTTATTGTTAACCCAGGATGGATAATATCTAATCCCAAACAAGATTAATATATTGAATGTAAGTCCTAATGTATAAAAGTCATCTTATACTTAACTGGCAGGGGAGAGAGATATCATGATCACGAAGGTGATTTTCCCAGGGCGAGGCTTATCCATTGCACTCTGAATATGTTGATCTCTGCGATTTCCCCAAATGTGGGAAACTTGGCTGCATAATTTGTGATAGTGGGGGACTGCATTCGCACTCTCCTCTGGCTTTTTTGGGTTCGAATGTTAGATCGTTTCTACTGCAAATAAAGCAGTAGTAGTAAAAAAAAAAAAGTCATCTTGTCTTATTCTTAGAGCTTCCATTTTAGTGAACTATATATAGCAGCAGTCTAAAACATGTAACAGTCTGCAGTTATCCATATGTGACATCTGCTTTTTCTTGAGGTTCATTTCTAAGGTAAGACCTTGGTGGATTTGTATGTATAGGTAATAAGGCTTATAAAAATTTATAAAAAGTAAACCAAAATGTGCGTTTAGTGTTTTGTTATCCCAAAATGTCATTTACTTTGAGAATTTAAAATTGGAATCTAGCAAGAATGAATTTATAGAAACTCTTTACTCAAGTATATATACCTATGTAATGGATTTGGAGAAGTTTAAATATTTCCTAAGAAATTCTTACTGAAATTGGACCATCTAGAAAATGAAAAACCATATTTTTTACAAAATGAGAGCTCTTAACACTAATCTTAAATTATTTATTCAATGAAATTATTTTCAGCTTGGCCTTCAGCTGTAGCATATGGAAAACAATAGACTGTCAGTTTTTCCAAGTGCTTATGATTTTTTTCCTTTATTAAATTGAATGCTTTATTGCTAACTTTACTAATATGGAACATTTACTAGGCAGTTACTTCTTCATTTTCAGTTGTAGTCCTGAAGATAACTTATGTAGAACGCTATGGTTGAATTCCACCTTTTTTTGTAGGACAGCTGTTGGTCTGTGAATGATTCTTTGAAACCATATTCAGTGTGGATGTTTTTAGAAGGAAGTAACCATAATGGTTAAAGATATGATTTAACCAGACTTTTGCAAAGGTAATATCTATAGATTTGGTGGCAATCAACAACCCAAATTGATAATTAATCTCAATAGGATAGGCAGATCTGTGTGATTTATTGTGATCACATTTTCAATTTTTATCTCTACGTAACTTCACTTGTCTTTGGAAATATCTTTTCATCTTGGCTTTTGTTTTTATTTATTTTTTAACTTTCTGCCGTGTTTCTAACATGTTTATTATTACACGCTTTGCTGGAATAATTTTCCCCCAAATTATTCTTATCTTGTCCATTTGATATATTGTATATGTTGGGCTTTTTTTTATATATAGAATGTTAGTATTTCTTAAGTAAAATTGTATTTCTGATACCCGCATTCCTCATTTTATGCTGGTATAAACACTGTTTGACTGCTACTCCTTTTTAAATATTGCCCAAACCAATTATTTATTTGTTAAAGTAATCTTATTCAAACTTTACACTCTAGTTCAAATGTAACACTCAAATTCCATGAAATTATTCAGTATTTAATGTCAGAGATGTTGAATTTATATTACTGCCCTTTGATGCAGTAATACTTAACCTTATCATTTATTGAGTTTCCTTAACATTAATTTGTTTCACACAATCAATTTTCCAGTCAGTATTTCTTGCATCATTACTATTTGGTTAATTATTTAAATCAAATTTTAAGATATTGTTCCTTAGTCATTATATTAAAATGAATATATGGATTCCTCCTGCTTTTGCTTGTCTTAATTTTCCATCTGCTTTTAATGCATGTTTTTAGCATATGGAATTATATGGTTAGGTAAAGGAACTATACTGGTATGTAATTGTATAATGGGATTACTTGAAACTAAAAATATATTTCTTTTAATGTGGAATTTTAACATGTTTTTCTGTAGTCATAGACCTTAATGTATTCTAAAATACATTAAAATGAAGGTTTTTATGCACTAGCAGGTTTTTAAAGTTTTATTTTTGGATACTAAGCACATTTTAATTTTGAAGAGTACTTGTTTTGAATATGTAATAAATGCCATGGTTAAAAAGTTCAGGCATTATAGAAAGTTGTATAGGTGCTCACTCCGTTCTTCAGAGGCAACCATGGTTAGTTAATCAGTTTGTAAGGTATCCTTCAGAGATCTGTTGTGTATAGCCAAAGGTATTACTTTAGAATTTTTCCATCACAAGTCTCATGCCATACCACTTGAGATGTTAACTATAAAAGTAATAATCTTGCTGAATTCTAAAACAAACATAAAACTTGTAATTTTGGCCTTGAAATATTGATTTAAATGTATACCTGCCAGGCCTGTATTGACTTAAATAGTATTATTATTATTTTTTGTTTAGAATGTGTAATTAACCTGTTATATAGTCATCTCTGTAACATAATGAACCTCCTCACTCTTTGAAAAAATAGCTAAACAGTATTAATGACAACAAATTATTGAAGGAAATATAATTAGCACCTCAAAACTGATTCCATAGATCTTATTAAGTATATAAATATTAGTACAGGTAGTAAGCAGATATTAAAAAAATTCTGGTTGTGTTATGTAGATGTCCAGAGTTTAAGCAGTACTGAACTAAAGAATGTTATTTATTCTACTTGGGTCGTGTTGCAAAATATGTATTAAAAGATTCTTTTCTCAGTTCTATGTAATTATAATGGTGTTTATTATTATCAGTATTATGACTAATAAGTCTCTGGGTGAATTGTATCCTAAGATGCTTTTCTTTTAGAAATAAGTTTAAAGTAGAAAACTATTATGTTTAATATTAATGTTTCTATATTTAATATTTTCTTTATAGAACCTGAATTTTGACAAATGATGTAGGGAAGTGTCAGAAAAAGTTTCTAAATGAATATGAGATGGTTTGTCAGATTTTATAGAATTATTGTTAATCCCTTTATTATATCTAGTGATAGAGAAAAATAAAAGGGTAGATAATGTAGGCTTCATTTCATATTTTCAGTATATAGATTCTACAAAGATACAAATAAAGAGAACCTAAAGATCTAGTCTAGCAACTTAACTGTTAAAAAATTTTTAATAACAGTCCTACTTAGTACTTGTCTGGTATGCGCATGAGAACCTTTAGTGGTATAGTATGTATTTTTGAAGGAATCTCTTTCCATTTTGTTGTTGCTGTTATTGAAAAGGAAGTTTCATATGGCAAAAGGCACAGGCTATTTCTGAAAGTTTTTGATATTTCTGCTAGGTGTTATACTTTTAACCCAGATGTATGAGACATATACATTTTAACATCCCTTTTTGTTGATTTCTATGAACCACAGCTTTCCTGGCATATAGTAAAATAGCTAGACAATAATAGGTGTGTGTTAGCTGAAGATGCTGTCACAGGAGAGCTGACGTTTGGTGCACATTTTTCTCTCAATAAGCTGACGGCATAAGAAAAGTGTAGCAGACACAAGTAACTTGGCTATCCTTATGAGATTGTTCGAAGGACTGGAGACATGGTGGTGCATGGTGGCACTGAAAGAAAACTTGAGCCCTTTGGTCTTCCAGTAGAGTAGCCACTAAAAGTTTTCGAAATGCTCAGGACTGCCTTTTTTTTTTGCTTCAGAAGGTAATAGCTAAGATCTGTTTAAGGGTATGGTAAAATTCCTGTGCCCTTTCTCCCACTACATTTTAAATTTTGGGATAAAAATTGAAAATTCTGATTCTGAGAACCAGGCTAGTTTGTATTTGGAGAGAAATTAGTCATATTTCTACTCATCTTAGTTATATACTTTAAATTTTCTTATTGGTATCTTATGCCTTAGTTGAATTAACACCATGATATTTTTAAATTATTGAGAAATTAAATGAAAATGTTTCCTATATAAAATCTCTTTTACCTGAGGCTTTCGACCAATATTTAAATCAGATTTTCTAAATAACAGGATTCCCATTAGCAAATAGCTCTAGAGGTAGAATATTATATTTTGCAGTGTATTTTCTGGCGTCATGACTAGATTGCTTTGCCAAGAACCACTGCTTTCAGAGGGAAGCATCTTAAAATTCTGCTAATGGCAAAAGCAAACTTTTAGTCCCTCTACTGGTTGCCTTTGTCGTAGCAGAGCTTATTAATTTATTTTTTTAGATGTTACAACTAATATAAAAGCTGTTTATAACTATGATTAAGGTGAATTTTGAAGTAAATTCTAACATGGGCTCTTCCCCATTTGAGTGACTTCCTGAACATACTTAAGAATAAAAATACAAAATAGTTACTCTTAAAAATAAAGATTTCAGAATATCTCAAATAGGTGAAATGAAGATGGTCATATTTTTCTTTACTTTTTTCTACCTTTGATCTTTATCTGAATTTTCCAAAATTTAAAGCCTTTAAAGAAAATATTTTTTTGTTTTTGTATATATACTCTCTGAAAGTTGGCTGAAGTTACATAGTTTTCAAAAGTAAACTGCTAAATATCACGTTACATTTCAGTGTGTTTTTGTTGGGAGAAGGTATATTGATTTATATATAGAAGAATTGATAGTGCTTGCTTTGTTAGCACATGTACTAAAAGAATTGATGGGTAAGAAATCACAGCAACAGGAAGCCAAGTAAAGAGTCTTAACTGTAGTTAAATTTCGCTGAAGATAGAATATATTATGAAAACCAAACAGATTGTAACACTGTTCATTGTTGAATGAATGTAGCATAATCTAGGTTGGTGTAGAATTGTATGGAGAATTAGCTGCTACCAACAGGACCTTTGTAAGTGCTGCAGAAAGACCATGTGATTAGGAGTTGGAATAAGGTTTTGGCTTTGCCAGTTAACAACTGGGTGGCTTTGAGTTATATCAGGTTTTTAGGACCAAATGAGATAACATAAGTTATTGTCATTAGCAAGTACCTGGTTATTATACTAATCTCATGCATAGCCTCTGCGGGGAGAGTATTATGTATATAAGACTCTAGTAAGGTTTCAACTAGAGGTTTTGTTTTGTTGTCAAGGAAAAAAGTAACTTTGATTTTAGTGTTTGAATTTAGCTTAAATTTTAATAACTTAAAGACTTTTTGCTAAGTTTGAGTACATTTTCACTTGATTTTTAGACATTCTGGTTATATTTTTTAGAAAGTGTATTAAGTTTTGGATTGACATCTATAAAATTCTTAATACACCATAGATCATTGTTTATTAATTGTAAATATGACCAATTCTCTGGGCTCTGGAGGATAA